TCCCTGTTCCTCTGCAGCTCCCCCTGTTTGTGATCTCGCTGTCTGTGTCAAATAAATAAATACAGTCTTAAAAAAAAAAAAGATTTTTGTTGAGCACGTACTGTGTGCTGGGTGATGGACCTTCATGCCACTGAGAGTAAGGTCTTACTGTCCTGGAGGGAGCTGAGGCCTCCAAGGGCTACAGAGACGTGCTCAGGTCACTCAGTGGGTAAATGATGGTAGGATTCTGGTTCTAGAAGGTGTGCTCTGAGCAGCTACGCTCTGCTCTGATGCCCCTGTCACTGGTTTTGCCTTGGTGGTTCCCTTCCCCCATCGGGGCCTCACTTATAAAAAAATAAGCCTTTTATTAAATGTCTTCCTTTCCAGGAATCCAGATACTTTACAGGGTCAAAATTTGATAATCCCCATGTTTCTGTCTCAATATAACCAATGTTGTCACTTCCAGCACCAAATGTTCCCATTTAAAATACTGCCTTCAAGGAGACTTAACTGAGTTTACTTTAGTAACACTGTTTAGAAGTCAGCAATAAGTCTTAATTATTGCACATTCAAGACTGTCAAATTCTCCCCAATGCCTTGTGACTTCCAAAAGGCTCAACTTTCCTTAAAATAATGCAGCCCAACGTGTGACACTGTTAAGAAAGGGAGGTAAACTTATCAGACTACTGGCGTTTACCCCTCGAACGTCAACATATATTTCTTTTTAGAAAAAAAATCTTTCACCATTTGTTCTTCCACTGGGGAGACATGGAGTTACTTTTGTTTATTATTTTTACACTTTTTCTGTGTTCTTCCAATGTTCTATAAGGGCTATGTTTTGTTTTTATAATGGAAAAATAACCTGATTTTTAAAATTCAGGCCAATAAAGCAGAAGAGAAATAAAATCTTGGTAACATATATTGTATATCCCCTGCCTTCCTAATTGGAAAGTATGAAACATAACTGTAAGCTCCATTGGATGGTTCTGGGTCAGGATCAGGGACCCCAGTTCTTACTGTGGTGCTATGACTTGATGGTTTAGACCATGGATTTTGAACTCAGATAGACCAGGCTTAGAATCTTGGCATGCCCATTTACTTAGCTCTGTGATCTTGAGCAAATGGCTTAGTGTCTCTGAGGCTTAGTTTTCTCATCATTAAAATGGCAATAATGATAGCATCTACCTCCCAGAGTGGCTGGGGAGATTGAATGAGACGATAAATGAACATAATGCTCAGCATTCAATTAATGCAAGTTTCTTGATTAATTATGTGATATTGTTAATATTCTGTTGCAAGTCCCTCCTAGGGACTGCAGAGGCACCTAAGACTTTTGGCCCTGGATCTGAATTAAAAGGTCCTCAGATCTTTATTCTCTTCCTCCCCATCTTCCAATTTATTTAATTTTAATTTGTTAAAGGAAGTAAAACTTAAGTGAACTTCTATGTATGTATACCCTGGCATAACCACCACCCAGATCAAGATAAAGACATGTCCAGCCCCCCTGCGGGCTCTCTCGTGCCCCCACCAGGTCAGCAGCCCCCAACCCCAAAGCAAACTCTATTTTGACTCCTAAAACCATAGAAGAGTTTTGCTCATTCTCTAACGTCGTATAAATGGACAACACAGGACGAACTTCTTTGTGCCTGGCTGCTTTCGCTGAGCGTTGTCTGAAAGAGTCAGCCAGATTGTTGAGGATAACAGCAGTTTGCTCTTTTTCACTGATGTGTAGAATGCTTTCATATGAATATTATTACAATCTGTATATCCATTCACTTTACTGATGAACACTTGAGTTGTACCCAGTTTTTGGCTATTATGAAAAATGCTGCTATTATGAATGTCCTTGTATATGTTTTCTGGCTCACTTCAGTTACAGACTACCCAGGAGTGGAATTGATGGGTCTGGGAGTATACATAATATTTGATTTTAGAGGATACTGCCAAGTCCTTTTCTAAAATGGTTGCACCATTTCCCATTCGCACTAGTGGTGCCTGAGCTTTCCAGTTGCTCTGCGTCCTTGCTAACACTTGGTATGGTGAGTCTCTTTCATTGAAACCACCCCGGTGGGTGGGTGGATGTGTGCTAGTTATCTCATCATGCCTTTAATTTCCTTGATGTCTAACGATGTTGCACACTGTTTTTATGTGATCATCCGCTGTGGGGACACACCATTGTGTTCCTAAACTCAGTTATACTCTTGGGATATCTGATAGCTCCGTTTGCCAGAATGAGATTTAAAAAATAAGCACACATGCTCTGAGAGAGGCTGCAGAGGCTCTCCTAGAACCAACACAGCAGAGTTTGGGGCACGCATTTCAGAGCATCTACGCTGACTTCTGCTTACTTTCAAGTTCTTAACTGTGTTTGATAGCGAGCTTGCAAGAGAAATAACTTGCAGATGAGTGACAAGCTATGAATTTTTAAAAATGCTAAGCGAGGGCACCTGGGTGGCTCAGTTGGTTAAGCGACTGCCTTCGGCTCGGGTCATGATCCTGGAGTCCCGGGATCGAGTCCCGCATCGGGCTCCCTCCTTGGCGGGGAGTCTGCTTCACCCTCTGACCCTCCCCCCTCTCATGCGCTCTCTCTCTCTCTCTCTCTCATTCTCTGTCTCTCAAATAAATAAATAAATAAATCTTTAAAAAAATAAAATAAAATAAAAAAATAAAAATGCTAAGTGAGCTCTCTAGCAGCATTACCGCTGATATTTCTACAGTCCGTGTAGGAGAAAGGAAGTCACATTAGTTGAGTATCCACTATGTGTCAATCCTTGCACCAGGCACTTTAAATACATTATCCCCTTGGGGCTTCTGGGTGGTGAAATTAGCTGTCGGACTCTTGGTTTCAGCTCAGGTAGTGATCTCAGGGTCGTGAGATCAAGCCCTGCTTGGGGCTCTACGCTGAGCACCAGTGTGCTTAAGACTCGCTCTTTCGGGCGCCTGGGTGGCTCAGTCGTTAAGCGTCTGCCTTCGGCTCAGGTCATGATCCCAGGGTCCTGGGATCGAGTCCCACATCGGGCTCCCTGCTCGGTGGGAAGCCTGCTTCTCCCTCTCCCTCTATGATCTCTCTTTCTCTCTGTCAAATAAATAAATAAAATCTTAAAAAAAAAAAAAAAGACTCGCTCTCTCTTGCCCTCTGCCCCTCCCCCTACTTGTGCGTGCCCAGGCACACTCTCTTTTCCTCTCTCTGAAATAGATAAATAAATATTAAAAAAACTTTTTTCTTAAAGATTTTATTTATTTATTTATTTATTTATTTATTTATTTTTAAAGATTTTATTTATTTATTTGACACAGAGAGAGAGACAGTGAGAGTGGGAACACAAGCAGGGGGAGTGGGAGAGGGAGAAGCAGGCTTCCCGCCGAGCAGAGAGCCCGAAGTGGGGCTCGATCCCAGGACCCTGGGATCATGACCTGAGCCGAAGGCAGCCGATTAACGACTGAGCCACCCAGGCGCCCCAAGATTTTATTTATTTAATGAGAGAGAGAGCACAAACAGGGGAGAAGGGCAGAGGGAGAGGGAGAAACAGGCTCCCTGCTGAGCAAGGGGGAGTCCCACGCTGGGCTGAATCCCAAGACCCCGAGACCATGACCTGAGCTGAAGGCAGACGCTTAACCAACTGAGCCACCCAGGAGCCCCCCCCAAAACATTTTAAGGGTGTACTTTGGAAGGACTCAACCAGGAATAAATATAAAACAGGAATCATTTGTTTTCCAAAAAAAATTTTTTTAGAAAGGTATAGGAGGTAAAAAAGGGGCAGAGTTGAGTGAATGAAAGAAACTGGTTTCCATTTTACCCTTAGAAACATCATCACGTTTGGCTTCCAACACCAACAGACAGAGCCTTGGTGTCCCCCTTGGAGACAATGTTAACTTTTGGTATTGAGGAATTTTAAATTTGCATCATCAAAATTTACAGAAAATGTGCCTCACTGTGTTCCACGTGACATTTCTCCCTCTTCCTTCAAACTTGGCAAAAGCATCACGGCTTCGTATATTTTACCAAGTTTATAAATTATCAGATACCTAATCATTCCCCGATTGTTGGGCCTTTAGGTCGTTCCCAAGCTGTTTTTGTGGTAAAACGATGTGTTAGCGAACATCTTTGTCTGCAGGCCTCGTTATGGTATCTTTGAGTACAGAAATGTTCATCTACCGGGAGAGAGACACTGAGAGACCATGACCTTGCAGGGGTTAAGAGCATGAATGCAGGAGCCAGACAGCCCACGGTGTGACCTTGGGCAAGCCACAAGACCTGTGTACCTCAGTCTCCTTGTCTGTCACGCTGGGGAAAATCACGGCACTTACCTCACATCACTTCATATGTGTAAAGGGCTCAGTCAGTGCCACAGAAGTGTTTGCTTGTATTATTTACCTTGAATCCTAGAAACTGTGCTAACTGGATAACAAATTAATGCTTTAAGGCTTCTTAAGTATATTGCTGACTTGAGAGTGTGAACCAGGCTCCTCTTAGTAACTCAGGATGCAGAGCTGTTATGGGTCCATAGCTGTGTGACGGATGGACATTTATTGAAACAACTTCTTCCTATGGTGTGTGCACATCTCTTGGTTCTTATAATTCCCTGTTTATTTTTCTGCTTCCCCCTCTGGACTGCAAGCTCCTTGAGATCAAAGACTATGTCCTAAAAATAATAATAGGTAATATTTACTGAGTGCCTAACTCTGGATCGGACTCAGTGCCAAGCACTTTGCTGGCCTTGTCTTGTTTGCTCCTCCCAGCACCATCTAACACCTGGGCCCTCAGGAGACAGGTGCTGACTGCTGGCTGAGTGACAGAGTGCTCTTTCCCAAACTTGTCACTTCAGAAGGATCACTCAAAGCACAGAGGTGCGGGATGCTGATTCCCAGGATTCACTCCTGGAGATCTGATTCTGAAGGTCTGGAGGAGCTCCGGGGTCTGTCCCAAGGTGATTCCTTTATGCTGAGGCCACATCTGGGCAACCCAAATGAGTGGCTGGATGACCCCATGGCCCCTGAATTTCCTGTGTCTCAAGCCTTAGGCAGTTTCTCCCAACTGTGCGGTGTTCTCAGCCCGGCCACTGACGGGAACAGGAGAGAAGGAGGGTGACCGAGGGGAGGAAACTGTAAGCAAGTCTCATTAGTATGCAGGGCCTTTCTTGTCACACTGCCTTTAATTGAAGCTGAAGGGCTGGCTCATGTCTCTGGGATTTTCCACTCTCCAGCCCTTCCGGAACTGGCTGCGCACCAGCCTGCTGAGGGGGACAAGGACGGTGCAGGGGCATGGAGGCATCTGTCTGTTGGTGTTGGAGGCCAACCATGATGATATCTCTAAACTAAAATGGAAACCAGGTTCTTTCCTTCAGTCATCGCTACCTGCTTCTCCCCTGCTGCCTCCGCCCTGGCTCCCTCCTTTTACCCACCTGCAGACCTACGTGCACAAGGCTCTGTTCTGCCAAGACGAGGAAGAAAACCACTGAGGGGAGACTTTAATCTGTTTCTTAACTTTTAGCAAAGTAATCCCTGCACATGGTTCCCATGGTTAAGAGATAGTACCTGCCCCCCCCGCCTTATCTGTGGTTATGAGCATCCCCTGGGGGTCTTAGAACCTTGTCCCCCGAGGACAAGGGGGGACTGCTGTACAGGATGGACGGAAGGACATAATGAGCATCATCTTTGTGTCACCCTCTGCCACAGCAATCACTCTGAACTCTTAGCTGTTTCTCTCTGGATACTTTGATTTTAGATATGATAAATATGATTTTTTTTTAAGATTTTTTATTTATTTATTTGACAGAGGGAGATAGCGAGAGAGGGAACACAAGCAAGGGGGAGTGGGAGAGGGAGAAGCGGGCTCCCCACGGAGAAAGGAGCCCGATGCGGGGCTCGATCCCAGGACCCCGGGATCATGACCGGAGCCGAAGGCAGACGCCGAACGACTGAGCCACCCAGGCGCCCCTGATAGATATGATTTTAGACGTTATCTGCTGATTTCCTGCTATGACAGATGAGGACTAGTTCACTTATACCCCATCTCCACCCTCCCAAAACAGTTACATTGTTCTTTTCTGTTCCTTTATTAGTTGACTTCGTAATTTCAAGTAATATACTACCATATTTATTTCTTTTTACCTGTTTTTTGGGGGTGGGGGAAATAGTCATACAATAGTGACTACAAAGTACATATAACTATGAGGCAAACACTTTTAACTACCATCCCAGTTAAGGAAATAGAATACTGTCAACACCTTTCGAGCTTCTCCTCTCCCAGTGAAGCCACTTACTCTGACTTTTGTGCTAATTGTTCGCTTTGCCTTTTTTTTTTTAAGATTTTATTTTTAAGTGATTTCTACCCCCAACATGGGGCTTGAACTTACAACCCCGAGATCAAGAGTCGCATGCTCTACTCACTGAGCCAGCCAGGCACCCCCTGTTCTCTTGCCTCTCTTCAGAGTTTTTCTCATCTTTAAAGGCACTCCTCGGTATTTAGATTTGCTGGAAATAGAATCGCACTGTACGTATTACACTGTGGCTTCTACCTTTCCTTCAACATTGGGGAGCTAATCTAAGGTGACAGGTGTAGCTGTGGTTTATTCATGTTCACTGCCATATACTCACCGTTTAAGTAGACCACAATTTATTTATTCAGTCAGCTGTTGATAGACATTTGGGTTGTTTGCAGCTTTCTGCTATCATGGACGTCTTAATCCATGTGGCGCAGAACATGTGTGCAAGCGCTTCCCCAGGGCATGGATGCAGGCGTGCAATCGCTGCATTGCAGGGAGCGTGCATATCCAGTTTCACTTGGTAACGCCACTTTTCTAATGTGGTGACACCAGTGGACAGTCCCCACCCCCGAGACTGACCTGACTGGCCGGGGTTGGGCTGGGCATTGAGAATGTTCAAAGCTCCCCAGGTGATTCCATCATGAGGCTCCACGTCCACTGTTATTTCCAGTCCACCAACTCTAGCTAGTGTTTTTTCGATTTGGAGGAGCGGTCCTAGCATTCCTTTCTCAAAATTTTTGTGTAATCATCTGGAAGAGATAATTAAGGGCTTTTTTCCCAGGCGAAGTTGAAGTGTAGGGGTGGCTAAGAGAGGTTATCAAGGCCTGGGCAGGAATTGGGTGATAAGGGGACTAAGGGGAGCAGGTGAGTTCTTCCTTTAGGCAGGGCTGAGGAACAACAGGAAACCCAAGGGCTGGATTCTTCCCAGCAGCCAACCCTTCCTTCCCTCTCTGGCTTTTGGTAGCTTTTAGCGTCTGTCAGCCAGCTGTAGGCCAGAGAGTCACTCAAACTGCTTCAATTTTGAGACATTAAGGGGAACTCTAGGCTCTTCTGAACTGCTGTGAGGGTCTTTATGGTCATGTTTTTTTAAAGGGACTCCAACCCTAGTTTGGGTTTCTCAACTGTGGCTGAACAGTAGCAACATATGGGAACTTTGACTACCTGGGCCTCAGACCAATTAGATCAGAATGTCTGGGGTGAGACAGGCACTAATAGGCTTCAGACGTGGCCCGGGTGATTCTTAAACGCAGCCAGGGTGGAGAAGCCAGCGGCAGTGGATCAAACTCTAACTTGTATCCATCATCACCTGGGGGGCTTGTTAAAAACATGAACTGGCTGGGCTCCACTGTGTCTGATTCTTTAGGTCTGGGGTGGAGCTGCGGATTTGCATTTCTAACAGGTTCCCAGTGATGCTGGGAACGTTGCTGCTCCCCCTAACCCTGCCTAGAGCACCATCTTGCCCCTGAGGTTTCCCTGCATACCTCCCTGTCCGGACCCAGAGCAGCCCTGTACTGAGCTGTTCCATCAGGTGGAGCAGACCTCCTCCCAACTCTGTATTATGTGGTCAACTCTGGTAGCTTAAAATCGACTACGGAAATCGGCAAATGCTACAAGTCGGGAATCTGTCATGCCCACTCAGTTGCTAAACATTCCCATCCGGATCACATCATGGATTAGCAGGATCCTGGGAAAGCACCTACAGAGGTGTAGCGCATCCTTGGCTTTGAAGGTTCATTGTCGTCAATAGGATCTAGACACACATAGGGTATTCACAGTGGTTACCCATAGAACTTCCATATTATATGGACAAAAAAAGGTATATACACTCAAAACAATTCTTTAAAATTTCCAGGGACCACAGGTTCTAAGTATTAAAAATACTTTTTCTGGTTTGAGTTATTAATACAGTCAGTAGTAATTCACAAAGCCAAATAAATACACTATAGCTTTTGATAGTTATTAAACATAGAAAGGAGACTCTGGGGGACAAATTGCCTCCTTGTTTGGCACCTGGGGATTTTTCCCACACTTGGCAATGCCAGGACCGGGAGAGGTAGGAAAGGGGATCACATATAAACCCCACCGACTGCAGGTCCACACCATCACAGCTGCGGATTTGGAGTGGGACTTTCTTTGAACAAACCATGACCAAATACCCTTACAAAGTCTTTGTGTAGCCCCAGCTTGAAGACTGCTGTACTAGCCTAGGCTGCTGAAAGCTTTTCAGTCCACTTCCAACAGCAAGTAACTGTGTTGCACATCATGGCGTCCCCGCCTCACTCCACGCTTGGGCCTTACACGGTAACAACACCCTTTCTGCTAGAACACTGCTCTCCGTGTGGGACCAGAGCCCGTGGTCTTACTCAGAAGAACCTTCAGGCATTGATGTCCAGGACACGCACTTGAACACTAGAAGCAAAGACTTACTAAAAACGAGTGGGTCTTTCTTGGGGGCGCCTGGGTGGCTCAGTTGGTTAAGCGACCAACTCTTGATTTCGGCTAAGGTCATGATCTTGGGTTCTGAGATCAAGCCCTGCTTTGGGCTCCATGCTCAGCACAGAGTCTGCTTGAGATTCTCGAGTCTCTCCCTCTCCCTCCCTGCCCTGCCCCCCACTTGCACGAGTGCATGCTAATAAATGAGTAAAATCTTAAAAAAAAAATTTTCTAAATGAGAGGGTCTTTCTAAAAGGATCCCCCCCCCCCACCCTGGGGACTGGGTTTCCCTATTTTTCTAGGGGAGGGGCTTTTCCCTATTGAGACAATTTCCCTTGTAAGTTGTGCAGTCCTGTGTTCTGCCAACTTTCCTGTTTGGCCGATGCAGGAAATCCCCCGGATCACATTCTTTTCCAGACCATGAAAGACTAGAAAAGATTCCCTTTTGACCTCGTATCCACCCCAGTGTTATCCTGAGTTTTTAATTTTGGGTGGGTGGGGGGAGCAAGGTGAGTGGTGACAGATTGGGCAGAGTCAAGAGCCTGGAATCTGTCATCATCTTCAGCAAAACTTCCTTTCTTCAGTCCCCCGACCTGCAAAGCACACTTTTGACCTTCTACTGAACTAAATTAAGAATGGCTGTGATGGACTTTGAAGGCATTATGCTAAGTGAAATAAGTCAGGTAGAGAAAGACAAATACTGTATGACCTCATTTATATGTGGAATCTAAACAAAAAACAAAAAACCAAACTCACAGGAAGAGAGATCAGACTTGTGGTTCCCAGGGACGATATAAACTTCCAGTTACATGATAAATCAGAACTAGGACCCTAATGTACAACATGATGGCTACAGCTGTATGATGCCTAGAAAAGTTGTGAAGAGAGTAGGTCCCAAGCGTTGTCATCACAAGACTTTCCTTTTTTTCTTTTCTTGTTATTGGATCTGTATGAGAAGATGGGGGTCAGCTGAACCTATTATAGTAACTGTTTCACCATATACGTAAATCAAACCATCGTGCTATCTGACTTAAACTTAGTGGTGTATGTCGATTACTTTTCAATAAAACGGGGGGAAAAAAAGAATGGCCACAAACATTACATGGTTTTGAAGCTTTAGATTCCTTCCTTGAAGCACAATGGCCCTGTGTTCTTCCCCGGTGGATCCGTGGTGCCAGAACCGTAGCGGGTTCTCAGTGGGTTTCGGTGTCACGGACCTCCACACATCAAAGTTTGCTGTTTGCAAAATGACAAGTCTGTCTAGGTATGTAAATCGATTCTGACTTTCTCTTTCATTTCTTTGCAGTGAAATGCAAAATGGAGGATGAGGAGGAGGCTGCACCTAAGACTCCACCACCTTAACCACTGGTGGGATCTTTTCCCTTCGGAGCTTCGATAACCCTACATGAGGAAAATGTACAAATTATGCTTCCTCTTTGTTGATTTTTTTTTAACGACTAGATTTGGTACATATGAATACAGAATCTTTTCTGCACAAGATAGGATTTGTTGCAAACATGCTTTAGTGCATATAGTTTATCCTACGAGAGTACAAATCTAAACTTTCTGCATTATCTCCAAATTTTATTTTTTATCCATTATTATTTCTTCGGTGCTTCAGGTATATTCTTCTACACCAACCGCAGTTCAAATGTACAACAAGCTCTAGTTCCAAGAGATGTTGAAGCGCTTTAGATACCAGTTTCCCACTTTGGCTGCTTAAATTTAAGTCCCAAACCTCTGCCGTGGGTTTTAAGTTTATCTGGTGAGTATTCTTTTCATAAAAAAAAGACATACTGCCTACGACCATTTCCAAAGGAGATGGACTCTTAACTCTGACTGCAAACCCAACAAGTTGAGACACTTAAACCCAGACAAAGGACTTTGGTTGTCAAGTCCCCAAAGTACTATAGAAAGTTCCTCATTTGCTGGGTAAGCTAACTTGTTACCCTCATTTGTTCTGCGGTTTGCTGTTAACCAGGATTCCCCCATTCAAAATGCCACAGACTTAGCCTCCAGGCAAATCCAAAAGCCTCATAGTTATTCTGGGTGGTTTTGACAAGCTACCACACATCTTAAGTAAATAGTAAAGCCTTTATTTTTGTGTTAAGAACAGCATTTTGAAAATAAAACCTATCTGCCCATGCTTTACAACCTTTAAATTTGTAATATTTATGTACAGTCATTTATGGTACACATTGATTGTCTTGAAATTTCTTTCATGATTTTTTTTTAATAAGTATGCAACAGTCAGCCAGGGGAGGATAAAGGTACATTATAAAACACACATTAATACATTTAATAAATATATATTATCTATCAAAAATGAGCTTTAGCTCTTTATCAATTAATAAAAAGCACCTGCTGAGAACTCTTGTAAGCTGGTATAATCATTGCATCATTGGATTATAAAAGCCACAACGCTCCCTTTCAGTTTGGGGTTTAACTCAGCACTGGCCGACCTGGAAGACCACTCCAAGTTTATCCTTGTTCGGTGGGCCCTGATGGAATCTGTGCTAAAAGCACGGGATCCCCAGATTTTTCCAGTTTGCCAATTCTCTGAGCTGATTCCCTCGCTCCCCACCCTCCATATCCAGTGGAGAAATCCAGGATAGAACGACCATTTTCTATTAAAAGGGGGGACAAGCGTGGCTGTTATAGTCCCAGAGTGATTTTAATAACCACACACAGAAAGATTTGTGCTTACAATTAGGTATTTTGATCACAGATGCTCTCCTTCAGGTCATTTTCCCTCAACAAGTGTTGTTTACATAAACAGAGGTGCCATTTGATTTTGTATTTAAAGTTTGCTCCGTGGGGGCAACTGGCGGCCACAGTCTCTTGGCAAAGAGGTTTCTTTGTACCCTTTAGGTGGAGTCATTAGAAAGATACCAGTTCTCTGCTCTCTGCCCTCACTCCCCACCTCTGCCCCATTGGGAGGGCATCCAGCCCACTCTCAACCTTAAACCCAAAATAAAACAAAACCCAGAAGTGCAATGACGTATCAGAGATTTAAAAAGAAAGGGAGGGAGAAAAGGTCTCATTAAGTGAGGTTTCCCATGGCTCAAACCTGGTTCCGTTTTTATGTCGGTGAAACGTGACTTTCCCCCTGTAACCATTTACGCTGTGCTCACCTTATATGCCCGGACCACCAAGAACTGAGAGAGAAAACGATCAGGTGAATTGCTCCCTTCTGCAAGGGGGGGAGGGGGGACTCTTGCACACGGAATCACTGATGGGATCAGAGAGCTCCAAAGGACTCCAGAGAGCGGGGGTAAGCAACCATTTCCTGGCACGAGAATGTGTATTGCTGTCGTTTTTCATCGGACTAGACCGAGGTGTTTGGAGATTTCTGTATTTTCACAATGCTGGGTCTGCATGCAGCCACCACCCCCATCCCCACCCCGGGTCCTAGCTTCTTTCCCTCCCTCTCCTCCCCAATACTCCCGGTTTCCAGTCCACCAATGACGCTCCTTGAACAGAGGATTGGAATCTGATTCTCTAGAAGCAAGCACATGCTCTGGGCAGGGGTGGGGCTGTTTCCCAAAGGTCTGGTAGGGGTGGCATTCTGGTCCCATGCTTTTTCCTCCTCATGCGTGGCAACACACGGAAATGCACTAGCTGGAAGGAAAACTTGGGGGAAGGCCACATAGGGATGGCCAAATTGGCTTGTTTACCCCGTTGCTCTGCAAGGTTGCAGGGGGCAGGGGGGACCGTGGCGAGGACGGGACACAGCAGACTAGGGCCTTGAGAAAAATCAGAAGGTTTATTAAGACAGCTCAGACATATTGGTTTATGAAGAGGTCAGTTCCCCCCACCCCCAAACACTAACCTTTTTCATTTTCTTTAAAGGTTAAAGGCTTGTGGGTTGTTTTATAGAAAAAGCAATATAGTCATTAGAGTATATGCCAAAGGGCTCACCCTCATTTATACATTTCATGCCGTCACGTTAAAACTCATTGCATCCCCCACTGCTAGTGATTATGCTGGCCAAACAGTGCAGAGAACATGGGGCTTTTGAATGGCCGAGATGTTCGAAAAGCCAAATAACAAAGGAATGACTTGCTTAGGACAGATGGAAACCATGACAGAAACAATGGGCTTTGAAGAGAACCATTTTCATGGAACTTACAGAAAACCAAGTCAAAACATGTCCCACATACCCTCCAAAAGCGGCAAGAATCCCCGGAGCGCTCCACCCGTCCCTGGAACTTGCACTCCGTCAGCGTCCCAACACCCGGGAACTCACTGCACGCTAGGCAGCAGCGTGTGCTCTCTCCCCTGGGACGCCCTGCCACGTGACATCATCGTGGAGAATCGCTATGGCACCTGCCTTCTGGCCTGCCAACCCGGTGGCGGGGGGTGGTGGTGGTGGTGCTGTCAGCTGATGGCCCATCTGAGCTTTGGAAATGAACATGGGACTAAAACTGGGAAAGGGCTCGGGGGTGGGGAGCACAGGAAGAGCAGGACGAGGGAGAGCTCATCAAGGGAAAGAGACTGTTGCCCCAAGCAGGAATATCGCTCTGGCTCCACCACGGAGGGAGGCGGGCCTGCTTTTCTGCTGTAGCCCTGCAGCAGGAGGCCCACAGAGGGAACAGTGGTGGGTCACCACTTTCTAAATGTGACGGTCACTTCACCTTCCAGAGAGCCTTCTCTTCGTTGGCACATGCCGGGGTCCCTCCCCCAACTACTGGCTGTAACAGCTCATCCCAAGGTGATGCGGCTGGGCCTCACCTTGGAATCACACCCACCACTCCTTAACTGCTCCTGACCCCCCTGAAATGTGCAAACCAACAGGCAAGCTGGTGGAAAAGTCCCCATTAGTCCTCCCAATGAAACAGGCATCTCCAAAAGGCCACTTGGGGTCCAGCACGTGCTGGGGAGGGGCGATGGTGTGGGGACCCCCACAAGCAACCAACACCAGCCAGGCCCACCGGCTGTGAATTTGGTTCTGTTCTACCCCCAGAGGATGAAACAGTCTTCCCAGCCACATTTTCGAGTGAGCCTAATACTATTTGCAATTAGCTTTGCTTTAGTTTGCAGGGATTGAGGTTGGTTTGGTATTACGTGTGTGTGTGTGCGTGTGTGTGTCGTTGGCAGGGGACGGGAGGGCAGTCGGTGTTAGCTTTTCGGTTCAGCAGTGTTCACATTTACACGAAATCCCCTTGTGTAGGATTTCTAGATCTCCTGGCTGTGAGGCAGCCTTGTTCGGCTACCATTACTGATTTCTCCCTCAAGAAAGACACAGCCAGGGAATAAAATCGGCAAGAGAGATTCTTATTCTCTGGAACTTAAAGTCTTTCACCAGAGGTGTCTTCCAGTGTAACTTGGCGGAGCAGTTGGTATCTGGAAACAAGGATAACACACTAAGAACTTTGTGCTTTGCAAAGTCAACATCAGAAACCAATTTGTTAACAATGTGCCAAATTACCTTGGTTTTTCCTAAGGGGCTGAATAATTCCCAAGAAAAGCGGCAACCGTTGTGTGTGTGACGCTGCTCTGTTCTTGGGAAGGCCGGGTCCCCTTTTCTGTAATCATGCACCCCAAATGAATGTCTCCTCACTCAGAAACCCACTTTGCTTTTTTCTAAGTCCAGGGTGTTTTTATACCCACTGGCCTTGAAGAGACCAGGAGGGCTTCAGAGTGACTGATGGGGCCATTTTCTAACATTATTTATTATAACCACAGGCCGAATGCTTTCGAGTCAAGCTTTTTCTTGGCACCAGACAATAAAACAGCCCAAGGGATGGCAGGGGGTTTTCAGAAAGCAAATCTGCGAGTCTATTTGTCTTTGAGCCTGTTCCAAACCAGTGCAAACCAATGCCTCGCATACCATTCAAAAGGCCAGGAAAACCCAAATTCCCTCCAGAGATCAAAGACCATCCCCGACTTACATTAAAAAAAAGGAAAAGAAAGGAAAAAAAGCTCAGGTTGAGTTATGGAATTGGCACATGATATAGGAATGGAAGTCCAATTTACACGTGTAAACTGGCTTTATGCATTGTTTCTGAAAGAAGCATGTAGCTATGTTTGGAAATTAAATGTGGGAATGACAGTGTGTCTTTGGATTGCTGGAGAAACAAAATGATGTAATTGCACAGAGGCAAAATGTAAACAATGACAATTCTGCTGAAGGTCTGTTTGGCATCAGATAGTAAAACCTGTTTTTGTGCTCGCAGGAGAGAAATGATAATCACTCCAATTTCTTAAGACATCTTTTAAGGAGTGGAGGTGGGGGAACCCGGCACCCAGCTGGGTCACAGAGATGGGGTGGGGGGGTCGGGGGGGTACGCTAGGTTGGGTGTTAGCAAAATCTGCCAGAGGTTTCACAACTCTGGGCTTTTCCTAAAAGTCACCTCCCAGGAAGGGGGGTAGGCACCTTCTGCAGTAATGAAAGCCAGAACTCACTGGGCACAAAAGCCCCAAGAAATAGGGACTCTTTCGAACGAATGCACAGATGGTTCACTAAGTATAGGTGGATCTTCCGTGAGTGGAGAAAGGGGGTAGAGAGGCAAAGAGAAATGGAAGCACTGCATGCATTCTAGCTGCAAGGGGTGTCCACTTGAGCCAGTGTGTGTGCGGGGCCCGTAAGCAGCCTCCACAGAGCAGGATGCCCCCAGTGAAGCTGCCCCCAACACTGACCGCTCTTGGGCTTCCGGCCAAAACATCACCTCTTGATACTTACAGTCCCTCCATTGAGCACAACGGCCATCTCAGTGGGCTGATAGACATTGCTTCTAAACGGAGCGCTCGGTCTGTTTCCCAAGCTGCCATTGCGAAATCCTGCTGTTCGGAGAGCTGAGGGAGGTAGGAAGAAGCAACACAACACCAAAACAAAAAACAAAAAACAACCCAGAGATTTTGTTTTCTTCCCCTGCATCAACACCATGCTCCCGGCACACATTACCCCCTCACCCCCCACCCCTCCCCATTGTCACAAGCCAGATTCAAAACAAAAGTCACAATGGGGCTTTGTTCTCTGGCTCTCTTGGAGCATGACCCATCTCAGTGGGGTTGGGAAGTTTGTAGAATCCAGGGCGCTTGCTGCCGGGGTGGGGGGCGGGGTAGAGCCTCTACCCCGCCCCCCAGCCCCTGCAGGCCCTGGGAGGCAAGGAAGCACCTCTGCATCCCTCAAAGGTCTCCTCTCTCACCACACAGGTCTCCTCTCTCACCACATTCATGCCAAGTTCAACATCACACGGTTCAACACCCGTCACTGTTTCTGGATACAAAGAGGCAGACAACCCTAAGAATGTGGACATCAAGTACATGATAGAGGCCGTCCTCATGGGAAAGTGACGGGGAAGAGAACACAGGGACTCCAACCCCCCAGGGCAGGGTGTTTCCAAACAGGAAAAAGGGACAGCTGTAGCAAAGACGGCAAAATATGTCAGCACTTTTTAACCTAAGAGAGGTGGGTAAATGGCGTTTCCTATTTGCTGTGTCCTTTGAGAGATCTAAATTTCCCTTTTTTGCAGAGAAGACCCAAATTCCACAAGACATGGAGGAGACAAATGCATATTGCTAAGTGAAAGCCAGTGTGTAAAAGCTATATACTGTGTGATTCCAACTATGATATTCTGCAAGAGGCAAAGGGACAGAGAAAGTAAAGACTCAAGATTGTGGGGGAGAGGGGGCGGTGAGGAACAGGTGGAGAGCATGGTGCATTTTTAGGGCAGTGAAACTATTCTTTATGATACTATAATGGTACAAAGATGACATTACCCATCCATCCAAATCTGCAGAACTGCACAAACAAAAGAGTGCGCTCTAAAATGTAAATTGTGGACTTTAGTTAATAATAATGTATCAATATTGATTCATCAACTGTAACAAATGTACCACTAATGCAAACTGTTAATAATAGGGGCATGTGGGAACTCCCTGTAATTCCTGCTCAATTTTTTCGGTAAAACTAAAATTGCTCTAAAAAATAGTCTATTAAAAGCCAATACAGAATGTAGGAGCACTATGAAAACAAAAGTCCATCTCAGTTGTAACACAGACTCTATTATTTTCATTCTCATTGAAGGCATTAATCTTGCTTTGCTAAGAAAAGCCTCACTTAAACTCTTCTCCAAAGAGGGGCACTTGGGTGGCTCAGTCACTTAAGCCTCCAACTCCTGATTTCAGCTCATGTCACGACCGATCGCACGGTCATGGGACTGAGCCCCCCCGCCCGGAGCCCTGCATCGCATGGGGGGCTCCACACTCAGCAGGGAGTCTGCTTTATAGCATAATAGGTACTTTCCTTTTTTCCACTTTACATGGGGCACAGAGAGATTAAGTCACTAGCCCAAGGTCACACAGCTGGAAAGAGGCAGAACCAGCGTTCAAAACCCAGGCAGAGAATCTGTGTTCTTAACCATCACACGATGCTGGCTTCAAATACTGTTTTTAACCATCACACTTAGTTACTTAGAAGCAACTTGAGTTTAAGTGACATTAGAGAGGGACAGCTCAGCCCGAGCTGGACCAAAGAAACAGGCATGGTCGGAATGAATGTCTCCAGACACAGGTATACCTCTTTTGCTTTAGCAGCTCCATCCGAGCCTTCAAGCAGCTAGTTACGCATGAGCTGAGCAAGGAGATACCTCTCCCAGGAAGTAGAGAAGGGGGAGCCAGGGAGGGGCACCAGGGGGCAGAAGAGGTAGTTCATGGGCTCTTCCTAGTCTCAAGTCCTAGCCTACACCTGCTTGAAGAGAGGGAGCACCCAATAGCACTGCTTTCCTTATAATGCACAGACCCGGCCAGCTGTGGTGAGGGAATCTGACCCCAACACATTTTCCTCAAACAAAGGCTCTACTCTACTGGCCATCTGTGGGTGCCTTGGCCCCAAGTGTTGGCTATGACCGCCTTCTACCCTGGCCTGAGGTTAGCATGTGATTTCAATCTGGCCAATTAGGTCCAATCAGAGCCAACTCTGGGATTTTTGCTCAAGCATCCCGGGGAAACGTTCCTCTTTTCCACTGGGACTCTGTGTAAGCCTAGAGTTGTGGGCTGCCATGATCCTAACAGGGCCAAGAGATGGAGGAAGATCAAATCTGGTCATCACCTGAGCCTCCTTGATCTAATGATTCCTGTAGCCCAATCCCCAGTATGTTTGTTTTTTTGTTGTCGTTTTGTTTTTGCTTAAGCCAGTTCAAATCAGATTTTTTATTACTTGCAACTACAAGGGTCCCACCTAACACCCCACTCTGACCTGGGTCGGCTGTGAAAGGCAAGCAGGGCTCATCCCTAAGAGCGTCCCGACAGGAATCTAAGTTTTTAGGGTGAATGCCAGCCTTCTATCCAGACTCTGCAGGTGAGGCTAGAGTGGCCCTCCCCTCAAAGCTGATTCAGGGCCTTGCACAGGGAAGCTAAGAGTCAAATTTTAAATAGCCCTTGGTCCTAATGAGATCCGAGAGTCCAAATTCCCTAAAAGAAAGAATGCTTGTCTTTATTGCTCCTTTGAAAGGTGAACATTTAATATGCCTCGTTAACACTTTCCAAGATGTGATCTGAGGTGCTACATCCTTCGGTGCATTTTAATCTTTTATCACATACCTCATGCCTTGGCTGATACTTATTAATAAGCAGGAGGCTGATGAAGTGGTATACACCTGGGATCTCATTCGGGGGAAGGCAATCCGGGAGCAGAAGCCACTGGGGCTTGACTGAGCCACAGGCCACCTGGGGAATGCCCTTCCCATCTCTTGAGGACGTCAGGGATTGACTCTCAAGGGAAGAGAGCCCAAAAGGCTGGCTGGCTAAAATGCAAAATAAAGAGAGCCAACTGTAACTCTTGGGCAAGGCCCTGGTAGGGCCTGGTTCCCTAAAATACAAGCTGGCTGAGGTCAGCATCAACGATGACACGAGTTACTCTCATAATGGCAAGGGAACATGGCCAGATGTTCCCCAGCCAGCAAAGCAAGGGTTTCTAGAACAACAATCCTAGCCAGGACTCCAATTTAGCCCATGTGAGCTTTCTGAGGGAATTGGCTTTGCCTGGGGCCCACCCTGCCTGGTCCCGTGTGAATTTTGGTGGGCACACATTTGGGATGATCCAAAACAGGGCTATTAAAACAAAGTCTGACAACATCCAAGGTGAGTGAAGAAATGGGGCTCCCATACAGTTATTAAGTAGGGGGGGTGGGCAGTAAATTAGTTTAACTTCTAGGGGGCCATCTGGCAGTATATATCAAGATTTAAAGGTGCAGACTCCTATACATGTCTAGGAATTTTTTTTTCTTTTGTCTTGCAAGAAGTTAATTGATCAAGGGCACAAAGATGACTGTTCACGGCAGCATCATTATATGGAAAGCCACAAACAAATGGAATAGCCACCAGCTGAGGATCAGAAAAATAAATTATTGTGCCCAGGGAAAGTTCTGCATCATGAAAAGGATACTATAGCTCTGCAGTCACTGACCTGGTACAATACTGATTTAAGCAAACACACTACTTAGATCAGTGGTTACATCTTCAACTCACTTGGTGAGCTTAAGAAACCTAAACCCAAGCAGACTTAGCCAGAATGAGGGGTCAGGCACTGGTAATTTTTTTAAGCTGCCCAAATGTACAGCTAGGTTAAGAACCAGTCTATGGGATTGTGTGTGTGTGCGTGTGCAAGAGAGAGACGGAGGGAAGGAGAGAGACTCTGTGCTCACTGAGCGATGTCTGGCAAGATGGAAGCAAACAGCAGTAGCTGCTTTTGGGCAATGGGATTTTGAGCAATTTTTGTTATTTTTACTTGCTGAAACTTATACATGATTATTCTAGTTTTTGTCACCAAAATGGAATGATAAAACTGGTTTTATTTTGGAAAAGAAGGGGGACAGAAAGACAACTTCCCTGGCTTTGGAATGTGTCAGTGTGAAATAGATGGGGGTGGGGGGCACCTCTAGGGCCCCCACCCCACCCCCATCATCCAGTGTGCTAGCCCTGGTACTGCTGGTTCTGACCTGGGTCCCAGATCCCTTTGATCTCTGGATCTTATGTGGATAGGAAGGATTGGCTGCATTTTCCCAAGAAAAAAATGCACATAGTGGAAAACCAACTTCTCCCCTCCCTGCTCTTAGAGTGTGAGCTGGACCTCAGTTTCCTGCTCTATAAAATGGGACAGATAAACCCTGTCTCCTCAATGCATAAGTCATCCTAGTACATCATGAGCTCAGGGTCACTAAAGTGTTTTGAGGAAAGATGAATAATTCTGTGGTAGACAAATCAAGCACTGGGGCTCTGGAACCAGCCTGCGTGAGCTCAAACCCTGGCTCTGCCTCTTAGGCAAGACACATAGCCTTTCTGTGCCTCGGTTTCCTGTCTGCAAAATGGACTTCAATGGGTTATCGTAGGGATTAAATGAGATTAGCCACTAAAATGCTCAGAATGGTAACTGGCCCATGGTAAGCACCTACTAAGGGTTAGCCATCCTTACTTTTGAAGACCCTACTACTTGGGTCGTTCTAGCATCCCCATTTTTCACTGTAAGTAAACTAGACCATCAGGTTCAATAACACTGATTCTTAGCCTTCTGGGGGTCACAGATGGCTTTGAGAATTTGACAAAGTGATAGACAAAAATTCCCCAATGAACGTACAAAAGTGCACATCCATTTCAGAAGTTCCCACTACCTTTGAGGTCCAGGGGAAGTCCATGGGTCTTATATAAAGAGGATCCTGTTCCAGAAGGAGCCAGGGAAGAGATGGTTCCACCAGACCCCAGGAACCAGCCAGGCTCCTGACCTCTGCTCATGATATTCCCTGGAGGGCCCTCTGGGCTCGCAGTGATGATCCCCATCCTGACCCCCACCTTGTCCTGGCAACACGAGCTGACACTCATTCCTGTTAAATCCTTTGATAAACATGGGCTTGCTGGTCTGGGGCTTTCTAGTAAGACTGAAACAGCTCTGTTAAAGACCACACCAGGGTTTCTAGCCCTATCCACGGGTGGGGCCATTGGTGTTCCCTCCTGTGGGTCTGGTGGGGAGCCGGAGGCACAGAGGAAACTGGGCAGGTGGGGAGGGCTCTGGGTGACCTTTGAGGATCTGATGGCTCGACGTGCTTCCCCCCCGTCGGCAAGGGACAGACAGGATGCACTCAGCAATCAACCCCACAAGGCTGACTCTGCAGTCATGACCTGCCGGTGAACACTGCCCAGCTGCCTGGGTGAGCAGCACTGAAAAGGGGAGCATGGCCCTCTGGAAATGGGCCACCTCCTAGCTTTATGTCCTTGGCAAGTTACCGAACCTCTCAGAGTCTCCATTTATTCATCTCTAAGATGGGGATAATAACAGGACCGCCTCACTGGGTGCAACAAGGGAGGTTAAAGACTTAGAATAGTACCTGGCACACAGTTAATGCTCAGGAAGCAATGACTATACTAGGTAATCAGGACCACCACCTCCTCTACTGCTACTGTTAATGTCATTATTATTATTATTATTACAGCTCCTAATCAATCCTCAGGCAACCGAGAAAAGGCAACTTTATTGAATCTCAAGTGCTGGGAACCTAGCCGACTCACTTGAAGTAATGACTCGAACAGATACTTGGGAAGCATCTGCCGCAGGGGCTCTGAGTGCCTGCACCACATCCTCCAGGCTCACCTCCGAATCCCACCGCAGGGCTGATGGACAGCCCTTGGGTACCCAGACAGCCTCCACCTCTCGTGCCCACCAAACCTCTCAGAAGCCAGCAGTACTTACTTAGCCAGAGTAATGGGGGACATGGCAATAGGAGTGGGAGTCGGAGACAGAGGACATACGTGACGGTGGGCAACGGAGGAGTTGGCAGCGAATGCTGCAGGCTCCCCTGATTTGAAAGGTCAAGTCTGAGGCTCGTTCTGCATGCATCCCTGTCAGGACCGAGCCCCAGCTGCCCACAGCGGGAACCAGCTCATTGATGTACTTGTCTAGTTGCTTCTGCCTTCCTGGTCTCATTACCCACTCCCCCCACCTCTCCCTTGCAGGGAACACCTCCCGGGTAAGTCAACTGCACCCAAGTCTCAGGCTCTGCTTTCAGGGGAACCCAACCAAGACACACATCCAGCATGCCAGGTCCTGGGGGAGACCCTGAGGATATCACTTCTAGAGGTACATTCTCTCATTATTTCTGTTTTACAGATGGGAAAAACTGAGGCTCAGAGAGGTAAAGCAGTTTGCTCAAAGCCACACGTCTAGGAAGAACAGAGGGCAGGACTTGAATCCGGGCCTCTGACTCCGGGGACCAATTCATACAATCCTGAATGATGGAGGTGGGGAGGAGATACAAACATTGCCCCCAGTATCCCCTGCATCCATCTGGCACCTGCACTACAAACTCACACACTTCCAGGTAGCCAGGGAATTAATGTTAGTATGTTCTAGCAGCTGGGTCAGGGAGCAATAGGGAGTGGTGGGGAGTGTGGTAAACACAAAATGGATCCCCATCTAAAGGAACGGCCACTTGGGCTGCTTCCATAATTTGGCGATTGTAAATAATGCTGCAGTAACCACAGGGGTGTCTATAGCCCTTCGAATTAATGTTCATTTTCTTTGGGTAAATAGCCAGGAATGCAATCCAATTACTGGATCATAGGGTGGTTCTATTTTTAATTTTTTTAAAAGATTTTATTTATTTATTTGAGAGAGAGCAGGGGAGGGGCAGAGGGGGAGGGAGATGCAGACTCCCCGCTGAGCAAGGAGCCCCACATAGGACTCGATCCCAGGACCCTGAGATCACAACCCCAGCCAAAGGCAGACACGCAACTGAGCCACCGAGGCGCCCCTATTTTTAATTTTTTGGGGAACCTCCATACTGTTCTCCGCAGTGGCAACTCAAATGTACATCAATAGATGGGTGGATAAAGAAGATGTAGTATATATATTATGGAATATTATTCAGCCATAAAAAGAACGAAATCTTGCCATTTGCAACTCTCTACAGAGTAGAATGCTAAGAGAAATAAGCCAGTCGGAGAAAGACAAATACCATATGATTTCACTCATGTGTGGAATTTAAGAAACAAAACAAACAAAGTGCGGGGGGGAAGGAGAGAGACAAACGAAAAAACAGATTCTTAACTAGAGAGAGCAGATGGTTACCAGAGAGGAGGTTGGGGGTTGGGGGCAGAGAGGATGGTGAAATAGGTGAAGGGGATCAAGAGTCCACTAATCCTGATGAGCACAGAGTAATACATGGAGCTGTTGAATCACTACGTTGTACCCCTGAAACTAATATAACACTGTATGTTTACACTGGAATGAAAATGACAACAAACAAACAAAGGAGCAGCCCCAACTCCTGAGAGGTAGAACCTTCCAGCATATACTGGTTCAGATCAGCACCAGACAGCTGCTGCCAGGTGGGAATGTCAACCCAGCACTGACAGAGCTGACTTTCCAAAAGAGGTGAGAAACCTGGATTTTGATATTAAATTAGTTGGCAACAGATGGGGAAAAATGCCGAATAAAAATCCATCTCTGGGCCAGTTGAAGTACCAGGGGGGCCAATGTTTGCCGGCTCCCATCTGCCAGGACTGCCCCGGGGACCACCCATCCCCACTAGAGAGGGAGAAAGGAGTCCTTTGGGGGCTAAAGGGCCCAGAGCCTAACCCGGCAGGGTGGCGACCCCTTTTACCTGCATTGTGCTCGTCCATGGAGAAAGCCTTGTTCTCCATGTAGGTGCGTGGCAGCGGCACGTCCTCCTCAAACGCCGTCTCCCGCATCCTGGGCTGCGAGGTGTCGAAGTAGTTGGGCGTGTTCTCCTGCGGGGCTGGCAGAATGGTGCAGTGGATCTCCGGGATGGCGTGGAAGATGACGAAGACCCAGCCGCTGGCCACCAGGGTGATGGCCAAGGTGGGGTCGCCCCAGGCGTCTGCCTGCCGCAGCTCGGCGTTGCCAAAGAGGTACATGGTCATCCAGGCCACCCAGATGAGCACGGAGAGGAATGCCGTGACCAGGACGCAGGCCCCGTTCTGCTTCCACTTTCTGAACTTGCCGCACAGCGTGAAGAGCGCCAGCCCCAGGGCGGCCACGAGCAGTACCATGTCGTAGATGAGGGCCATTACGAAGTCCATGGGCTCGTAGGCGCAGGCTGGCTTGGCGTCGCGCAGCACGGTCAGCACCAGCCACTCGATGGCGATGATGACCTGCACGAGCATCAGGCACAGCGCCACGCCCACCAGCTGCCAGCCTGAGGGGCTCTTGCCGTGGCGCACCAGCCTTCGCACGCGCCACGCCTGGCTCAGCAGGCAGGAGAAGCAGAGCGCGAAGAGGACTCCCCAGAGGAACCGGCGGACGGCGCAGATAGTCTCGTCCTCCCGGATGATGAAGGCGAACGTCAGCCCGAAGAGGCCCAGGGTCCCCAGGAGGAAGAGGAAGTGGAGGCCCACGGGGTCCTTCTTCTCCTTGTCCTTGATAAATGGCAGCCGCACCAGCAGGATGAGCATCAGGAGCAGCGTGATCAGGGCACCCGCCCCAGCCACCGCCTCCACCACGATGCCCCAGATGGTGTCCAGGTCGCAGAGGGACACGTACTGAGGGAGGAGATCCAGTCCACAGCCCCGGGACGTGCTGGCGTTCTCAGAAGCCCCGGAGGCGATCACGAAGAGTAGGAGGAAGGCGAGCACCTGGTGGGTTTTCATCTTTCTCTCTGACGCCGGAGAGGTTCCAGAATATTGAGGACGGGGGAGATGTTTGGAGGGAGAAAAAGACCAGTTCACTGTAAGATTCCCACTTTCCTGACTTCTTTTAAGACCCACCTCATTTCGAACCTGCTGGCCCATGAGGCACCTTTGACGGTTCAGAAAAAGGCAGCCCTTTCTCCAGAAGGCACAGCCCCTGGGCGGGAGTGGGGGAGGTACACAGGACCCTGATTCCGACTCCCACCTGCAGCCTTGATTTCGCACAGTGAACACTCATGAATCATTATTGCTAGTGGCTGAAGAGGGTGAGAGAGAGAGATCCACTCTCTCTGTATACTCTTTTGTACTCTTTGATTTTTATATTCTGTGCTATGTCTGACCTCTTCAAAAATAAGGGAATGAAAACAAAACTTTGAAGAGACAGCCATGAGCCCAGCACTGTGCTGAGAATGGTACGCACTGCCTCTTTTCAGTCTCTAAATGGTAACGGCTTAATATTTACCCACGCCTCACTCTAAGCCAGGCACTGGGCACATCCAGTCCTTACACTGGTGACAAAACAGGGTCTCCAGGAGGTTAGGACACTTGCCCAAGGTCATACCACCCGGCTCCTAGAGCTTGCCATTTCCAAACACAGTGTACCCGGATGATGAAGGCGAAATGAACTAGTGTCCTGGGTTTCCCCTTTCCCTCACCCCTCAGATCTCCCCCAAAGATCTCCAGAGAACCCATCCTCACTGCACCCCTGTCTCTCCCCTGTCTGCCTCCCTGCAGGATTCCCCTCGGCGCTCCTTCGGGCCCCCATGAAAGCGGGACTCCACACAGCAACCATGGCAGACGGGCTTAACCCAAGTCCCATATTGCCTCCCTGCTCCCTCTGCTTAAACACCCCCAACCCCCAATGCTGGGAAAACTGCTCCTCACCCCCACCTCCTGTCACCCTCTCAGACCTTGGCCAAGGTCACAGCCCCATTCCTCTTCACCAGAGCCTCTTATTCTACTTCTTTCTTTGCTCTAATTGTCTCTTTTTTTTTTCCCCTTGCCTGTCTACTTTGTTTCTCACATTCCCTTCTTGCTCTTTTCCCTGTCTTTCTCCGCTGCAAGATGCAGGAGGACAGGGACACTGTCTGGTTCATCGGGGTATACCAGGGCTTCTCACCTTGGTATCGTTGACATTGTGGGTCTGACTCTCCTCGGCTGTCCTGTGCACGGTAGGCTACTCAGCAGTACCCTTGGCCTCTATCCCCTAGATGCCCGTAGCACACCCACTCCCCCAACCCAAAAATCTTCTGACATTGCCGAATGTCCCCTGTGGGGGCACAATCACCAGGATGACACCACTAGTGTGGACTCAAGCACTAGCACCGTGCTGGCACAGAGGTGATGCTTGGTGGATGTCAAATGAGTGAGAGGCTCATTCACCGGGACTCTTTCCTCTGCCCCTACCACCACCAGCTCTTCACTTTTGAATGGAGCCTACCCTTCAGAAAGCTCCAGCCCACACAGCTCGGCTCTCAGGCCTGTTTCCAGGCGGCTCAAACTGGACCTACTGCCTTCGCTCCACCCGGGTGTGAGACCGTAGCCAGCCACATCCAGGCAGCTCCGGTGCCTCCCTGGGGCTTCCCTAAGTAAATGCAGTATCGACCACCTCTCTCTCTCCCTCTCTGCTCCTTTACAGGATTCCAGGAGCAGCTCTGATCCTGCCTTGGCTGTGAAGCCATTGACTGGGATAAATTATTGATGCCGCCAAATGAGGAGGAGCCTGGTGCTATAGGGACTGTCACCTTTGCCTCTCGATGAGAGAAAGGCAGGTTCAGAGCAGAAGGCATCTGGCAAGAGATGCTTCTTAAACATGCACCCCAGCATTCCACTCAAGCAAATTAGGGGTGAGGATGCAGCCACATGTTGGCCGTCAAGACTCATGGTCCAGCCACTATTCATCCAGCCAATAAACTTCCCTTGTTTGGATTAGGCCAGTATGAGCTGGGTTTGAGTTACTTGCCAACAAAGAAGTTCTATGATTTCTCCCACATCATGTGGCCCCCCTTCTTCCAGGAAGTCCTCCCTACCCAATGTCTAGGCATGTGGATGTAACCAATGGCAGCCAGGAGCTTTAGTGGGATCCAGTTGTCTCTAGTGGATCATTATCGTCGTTAAGGATGCCCAGGAGGTGACAGCCACCCCACTCTAGAGAACAATGTCTAGGATGATCATGAGGGCTGATCACTGCCTCACAGGATGAAGCTGAGTCTGGCTCATCTAGGATTGCTGGGGGGTTCAGAATTGCCCCCCAGAGTTTTCTACGACGGCCAGAGGAACCATGACAATAACTAACCCATAGTGCTCACCACACTGTAGGTATGCTTTTATGTACTTAAACACATACTAACGCCTTATAGTCTGCACAATGACACCATGCGGCAATTACTATTACGATTTCCGTTTTAAAGTAAATAAAACATGGAAGTCGGCTGGCTTTTTGGAGGTCACACAACTAGAAAGTGGTAGAACCAGGCAGCAAACAACTGTACTCTTGTTACTTGGGCTCTTACTACAGACCTGGGCTCTAGAAATGTCACCTGGTAAGTGAGCCCTTTGCTGGCCAGTCTCTCCTGTCCCCCATTATGCTCTACACCAGTACTTCTGATTTTTGTCTTTGTAGCATGTGCCACAATTTCCAAATATTTTATTACCCTCTGGGTGTGATCCCCCCCCTCCCACGTCCAGGGCTTTGTCTGTCTTGTTCTGCATTGACTCACTAGCACCTGCCACTCGGGCAGGGCTCACAGTCCAGCTGCCGAACCAGATGATTGGTAAAAGTGGTCTCGACCCTCATGTTACCCCAGAGGACAGGTGTGCTCATTGCTGTCTTACAGAGGAAAGAACAGACAGCCTGAAAGGTTCGAGTCAAAGTTTGATCCTCAGACGGACAACAGCAGCAGTGTCACCTGGGAGCTCGCTGGAAATGCAGACTCTTGGGGGTGGGGGTGCGCCTAGCCCCCTCCATTTCAACAAGCCCGGCAAGCAAGCCCCAAGTGCGCGCAGTCGCTTGGCCCCACCGAGGTGTGAGAACCTTGGACCTATGCAGCCGGGGAAGCCAGGAGCCACGGCCCCCAGACGTTCTGCCTCACCAACCCTGCCAGAGACCAAGCAGGTGGCACCCACTTGTCAGGTAAGCCCCATCCTGCCGCATCAGCCACTTGGTGCTTCCTCCCACCAAAAGAGCAGTTCTCCAGGAATCCCAAACTGAACAATGCCAGATTAGAGGTTTCAAGTCAGCCGCAGGCAAGGCTGATCGGGATGGGATGAATATATGGCAACAAACCCATGGGATGTAGGCGTGCGGCTCCTCAAAAGGAGGAATGAACAAATGTGAACGAATGCACAAGCCTCGGCTCACATACTAATTACCTCTGCTGCCAGGCAGGCTCCCAGAAATGTGACTCATTCAGAGGCTCTTAAATACACGATCTTTCTTTCTTTCTCTCTCTCTCTCTCTCTCACACACACACACACACACACTCTCACTCACTCTCTCTCTCTCTCTCTCTGTCCACCACCCCCCACCCACAGAGGGGCCAGAAGCCTCTGGCAGGTGGTGGAGCACCACACTCCATTTCTCCATGAGCCGGGGCCTACAGAGGCTGGAAAGAATGCAGGCAAGGTTCCTTGTGTGAGGACAGTGCTGCCTGCCTGAAGGCCACAGGCCAGGCTAGCAGCAGGGAGAACTTCGGAGAGATCTTCCGGTTTCAAGTTCTGCCCCTGCCACCTGCTAGTACCTTGTGACCCTGGACAAACTGATTTTACCCTTCTGGCCTCAGTGTCCTTCTCTGCAAAACTAGAGGTGTTAGTGGTACCCATCTTGTGGGGTTGACACAGATAAGCACTTACATAAACTGTCTGTTAAATAAATAGAAATGATTGGCAAATATTCCCTCGTCAGAGGTTATGAACTTTGCTGACTGCTTTTCTGGGGGAGCAGTTGCCGTGGAGATGGGGTGGGAAAGGGGCTCCCCCCACCCCGGTGTTTGTCCATCACTGGTTTCCAGCCTCCCCCATCACACCAGGCAAAGCGGTCCCTGAGGTGGTGCGAATGGGAGATGCCTTTGGTGATGGTCTGCCCTGGGAACCTCTAAACTCACCTGATCCCCAAAGCAGGTGCTCTAAGCGGAAGCCTCACTGTGAAGGTGGTTTTCCCATGGGAAACCCAGGCCAGCCTGGGAGCCCTGAAACTGGGTCTCTCTGTCAAGAAGTCAGAGCAAGGACACCCAGAGACCAGACACTGGCCATTCTCTTGGGAAATAATTGTCCCCATCCACCCACTACCCATATGAAGAGGTACAAGATATGGGGGAGATGCTAGAACATGGAAGGGAAAGAAAAAAAATGAGCAGACGGGGAGGGGGTTTTCCTACTCCTGGGCATAGTCAGTAGATCGGTACCTGGGTGAATGCCTGGCACAGAATTTATACTTTCATCAGTCTCCTCTAGAGTGGAGGCCCTCAATGAGAGTGAAGCCAGACCTAACGATGTGACATGGGGCATTACTTAACCTCTCTGACCCTAGGTCTCTTTCTCTATAAAAGATAAAGATAGTGCTGCCTTGGGCGCCTGGGTGGCTCAGATGGTTAAGCGTCTGCCTTCGGCTCAGGTCACGATCCCAGGGTCCTGGGATCGAGTCCCGCATCGGGCTCCCTGCT